ATACGTCACTGTCGTTTGGCCTTATTACATTACATTGATCATGATTTTGAATTTTGAGCTGCCATAATTCATTTTAGAACAACGGATAACTTCCTGAGGGAATATCCCTTTGGTATATTTTTATATTTTCCTCCCCTGGAAGAAAGAAAAGTAAATTTCTAGTAACAGATGATGTCCATGGATTTTTCTTCAAGTTTTGAGTCTCTAAATGTGTAGTTCTATCTCAGACATAGAGTCAAGAGCAGATTTTCAAACAGTCTTTTTCTCTCTCTAGGGTTTTTTTTATGCCATAAATTTTGAGAACGAGGCAAGCAGCCCCTACCTTGTGACGTTCCTTACATCACTGCTCACTACTGGTCACTGATTTTTGACCTGAGCGTTTGTAAGTTGTGAACATCTAGAGCTGTAACTGGAAGAAGACCATTATCCAGATAAGACCGTTGTCCAGATAAGTTTAGGTTTAGGCGTTGAAATATTTGTAAGACCTAAGGCCTTCGTACGTGCAGGATTAGTTATTACAGTCTATTAATTTTATCGTCAGGTAGTTTTTTAATAATATCTTTTCTTTTAACTTGCATTCCAGTGGTGGAGCATATGTGCTGCTTGTTTTGATAAGGTATTGTGAATCTTTTTTTATAAATATCTTGTTTTATTTGGCACTCTGTATACAGTTAATTAGGTTTCTTTATTACTATTAGATTTTTTTCTTCTTTGTATGCTGGTCAAGAAATACAAGTTCCGACTAACATCTCGGGGATTTGTGACTTAATCCGTCTTGAGTCACTGGCGCTCTTAATCCCCATACTCTCCGATTTATTGAGCTAGGGCCTAAATTTGCACGCCACTTGACAGCTGTTTTGCATTGGCCGACCCTTAGATATCATTTATAGTAATTTATTAATTCATTAATTAATTTAAAACAAGGAAAGAGGAATCACCCCATCATTTCCTCTTATTTGTAAAAAAAGGCGTGGCAACTCCTCTGGGAGGCCATAGGATAGTAGTTAGCATAAAAGGGCTGCGTGCCTCAGTTCGCTAGCCCGCGCTCTTCAAAAACCCTTAGGGGCTGATAACTTTCATTATATACAAGAACTTTGCTCTTGCAGACGTGTAAATGATTCCTGCTTGGAAACATTCCTGCGGGCGCCCATGGGCGAAGGAGTAGCGTTGTCCACTTTCATTTGTTGGCTCTGACAATGTCATACATAGCCAATTCTTACCATACTCAATCATTGCACCTTGATCTCCATCTACACAGCATATTTTGGGCCCGATGTATTATTGCTTTATTGTTATATTCAATAAAGTGCACCGGTGAGAGCAGGTTGCATTCGCCAAAGACGAAGAGTATATCTTATCCTACCCCTTGCATCATTGAGATTAAGTAGCTACGAATGTCAGTTTTATTTAAATGGTTTGATAAGTTTATGGAGATAACTCCTTCTACAGATATCACTATCGGCGCACGGCACACATTGTCTAGCTTCCAGATGTTTTTGATTTCGATAGCTAAATTTTGATGTTTATCGAGTTTTTTGTTCTCTGTTTTTAGTGGGTTTGTGGTGAGGTATATCTATGGTAGACGCTTTCTCTTCTTTGCATTTGTTTATTGTGAATTTGCATGCGTTATATGTTTTTCGCAGTTTTTTGTTATCATTATTATTATTAACATAATACAGTACAATGAAAATGCCACTCTAGTAGCAGTGAGCCATATTACCCGATCTCATTTCTTTAATGTTCTGGATGGGCATTCCCACGTTACTAATTCCTTCCCGACCTCTAATTCGGCGGTACATTGCTTACAATTTGGCATGTCTCCCCCCTAGGCTTATTAAATAACGGAGGCATTAAAACTTGGCGTAGTGCTGTTTAAAGTTGTCATATACGCGCGTGGAGAAGGCAACTCCGCCAGCAACTTTCTCCTATAACTCTGCCATCTAGCCATTTATGTGCCGTAATGCAGCCAACACCTGGATGTGAATAGGGTGCTAAAACTGCTGAACCATTAGGGCACATTTTGGGGTCTGACGTCTGTTCTTAAGAGGAAGTACGTGGGAAATGACTGTTATAGAGAAATGTTAGATTATGTCATATGGATGCGTCACCTCTTAGAGGCTATTTGGTTCGAACCAAAATGCCTTTTACTATTTGTTAACGCTTGTAGTGGTGAAGTTGCAACAGGAAAATTTATTACACGGCTATAGCGACTTTCTGAAAGCGTTGAAAAGCAGAAAATTCGTGGGATAGGCGGGAGAAAAAATAGTGCCACAAGTTGTTACAAAAAAAATGTCCTGAGGCCGGACCCCCTCTCCCCGAAATGCCGAGCTTGAAAAAATTTCGAAAGTGTTTTTCAATTTGCGGACCCGATCCCCACTCCCCGCTCTTCAATTTTGAATCGCCGATCTCCCCTCCTCCCCAGCTCTTCATTTTTCAATCAATGAATTATTGACTTAAATTTTTGTTTTCTGTCGGTCTTCGTCCCCTCTCCGCCGGTGCTCCGCTCCCGCCAGAATGTTAACATTTTAAGCTTGTAAATAAAGAAAAATCTGTGATATCAATAACTTAAATCATTGAAATTCCTAAATATTGTCTGATATAATGCATATGCAATGAAGTATAGTTTGTGTGAAATTGGTGTAAAACAGGGCATTTTCACACCTACCCTAGTTATCTTAACGGTCACTTATGTTCGAGAATCTGTACTTTTTGTCAAAAATATTATCATTTGAGTGTATTTTGTATAATACGGTAGAATATTGTTCTTTTTGCAAATAAAATTTATTTGAATTTGAATTTGGTTCACTAGTATTTGACTACCTGGAACACAGATATACGAACCCCGCGATGCAGCTCGTTGACTAATATAATCTCTATTAGGCCGTTAAGTAAGAAAAATGGCCGATAACACCAGAAATCCTAAATTAATGTGTACTTTTATTATATCCCTTGTAGCTGGTTTCAAAATAGGCAAAGGGTATCAAAGCTATACACGGGATTCACGAGAGGGCGCCTTCAGTCTTTATTGTTATCTGCCAGTGTGTCTAAACTGTGTCGGGTAGCTGAACTCTGTCAGCCCAGGTGTTTATATTTGTCCGTATCTTTATTTTGATAATGTGGCCACGTCAGTCCTTTTTGTTGGCTATAATGTTTAAGTTCTGATAACTGTAGTTATGTGGTGTTTCTTGCAATGTTCATTCAAATTAGCAATTCAACGATGATTCTCTTTAGGAAAACATTTATACTTTTGACAAAAAGTAAACTACATGATATTGAAACTGAATAGATGGGCTCTCTGATCCTGATGATGGACTAACAGAATAAAATGTTCAATCCCGTGGACTAAAGAAAAGAAGGCAAACACCTGGAAGGTTGAATCTTAAAGCTTGACCATGCCTTTTTTAAAGTCTAGGTATGACCATTTCTTATCGAAATAGAGCCTGTCAAAATTTGATTTTTTTCTTGTTCCCTTGACTTTTTGGGTAGTTTATTTATAGTTTTACTTACCACAATCCTTGTTTATGACAGTCAGATACGTACGTGTTTCCTGCCTAGAGTTCCTATGAAGGACTTCTCTCCTCTCATCTACATCTTCCGATATGCTCACGCTACCGAGGGGTGTTTAGGCCTTGGAGGCAGTTTAAGTATGAATATCTTACCATATTAACTGTACCATATTTACTTGAATCTTTTCGTCCGCACGTGTCTCGTTTCATTCGTCCGAACAATTTACTCCGCTTTATAAAGAATGAGCGTCTAAGCAGACGTAAGACTTTTCTTCGATTTATCTTTAAAGCACTTTTGCAATTTAATTTAGCTGAAAACTCGCTGAAGTTACTGGGCGTCATCCTACTGCAACGGATTTAATGTCATAATGTGAAGAATTCAACATCACTGTGAAATAATAAGCCGAGAAGCTTCACTGGATCTTTCATTTAATGTGATTGTGGCAGCTGGTCTTTGAGGATTATAACAGAAAAAAGCGGTGTAAAGTAGACTGACTCAGTACTTTCCAGGCAACGCTGTCATCAGTTCAAAGGGAGAATCCTTCTGAGCCAGCTACAAAAATGTACGAGCCTTAGCCCAACATAGTTCCGACATTATCTAATTTTATCTTAAAGCTTGTTTATTTTTGCATTATAGGACTGATCTTACGTGGCCTATCAACACCCTGTCTTAAAATTTGAGTTAAACCTGTGTATCCGTGAGTAAACAATCCTTATAGCCCTAACACAAAATAGTTCTGAAATTATCTAATTTTATCTGAAAGATTATTTATTTTTTTAAGGTTAGACATAATTTTTTTCTTTTATAAGACATTGAAATATATTGTTTTGACATCATATTAACAAAATTATGATCAAGTAATATGATATTAAACTATTAAACTAAACTAATATTGATATTCTGGCTTGCATAATTTTAAAAAGGTTTTCGCAGTCTTCCGCCATAAAGGAATTCCATACATTACTCGTAAATCACAAATGTTTCGTTGTGGATCATTTCTTCACTGCTGCTTTATTTTGTGCCATAAAGTTTCGATAATATTTAAATCGGTACTACTGGAAGGCCAGTTAACCCATTAACGCTCACTGTACTCAGACGTTTACAGCTTACAAAACTGTATTTTGCTGCCATCTAGCTAGCACTAACTAAAACATTTCATTATATGTCGAAACTTTGGTATATTAGCTGATAGATGTCGATACGTGTTTGGGTTGAAAATGTATATTGGCTATTCTGTAGGACTTCTATTCGGTACCCTAATTGTTTGACGCATATCTTGAGGTTATTGAATGAAAATATTTACGAAACGCCGTTTTTAGTGTTGATGAGCTAATTTTGGTGGTTGTGGATTGTTGAAAGTGCAACTGAACTATTTTTATCACTTTTGTAGAGCTATCTCCAAAATTCGCAAATTGGTAAGTAAAAAATAATCACTGTACTTATATGAACAATGGATATTACGGGCTTACCAGAAGTTCCTGCATCATGTTTTTATGGCACTAGACGGTATAAGTATTTGTAACCGGCCAAGAACTCAAAAAATAATTGATGTTGTTGTCATTCCTCCTGCTGGTGATTTACAGTCAGATGAAGAGGAGTTTTATGATAATATCATGTCTGATGATAGTACTTCGTTGATGCCGCAAGAAGTCGCTGGGGAAGTCGAACTCCAACATATAATCAGCAGTGAAAGCGAAGACAGTGATCGCGAATACCATTTACCTTTATCTGTCCTAAGAGAAATAATTTTGAAACAAAAAGCTTTGGAAAATAAGGAAAAAAGCTGCCTGGACCTAAATGGACTGATAATTTTGTAGATATAAGTTTGCCATCAACAAATGGAAACCTTGATAGGCTGGAGATTCTAAAACATGACTTGGAAAACTTAAATCCAGTTGAAGTTTTTGAAAAGCTGTTTGATGATACCGTCTTTGACCACATTGTTGCTCAAACAAATTTATATGCATCACAGCACAATAGGCATGATTTTTTTGTATCAAAAGCAGATATAAAGCTGTTTTTTGGAGTTCTTCTCTTATCAGGCTACCACAGGCTGCCAAGTGAGAGAAATTACTGGAGTATTGATGAAGATTTGAGCGTACCCCTAATAGCAAATGCCATGTCAAGAAATCGTTTTAGTGACATCAAGAAATGGCGAATAATGAATCATTAGACGAAAAAGATAACATGGCAAAATTACGCCCTCTTATATCTCTTCTAAATCAAAGATTTCAGCAATGGAGTATATGGAATGAAAATCTTTCGATAGATGAAGCGATGGTTAAGTTTTTTGGGCGTCATTCCAGCAAACAGTACATAAAAGGCAAACCCGTGCGCTTTGGCTATAAAAATTGGATGCTATGTAGTTCAATAGGCTATTGCTACTCGTTTGATACCTATTGCGGCGCTAAAGATTCCAAAAAACAAAACGATATTTCTTTAGGCTCTAGAGTTGTCCTTGAGCTGTTGGAATGTGTTGCTGTACCATCGGATCACATACTTTTTTTGACAAGTATTTCAGCAGTCATGAACTGCTCAAGATATTGAAAGAGCGAGGCAAAGGGCTACCGGGACTGTTCGAGAGAGTCGAACAAGAAAGTGTCCTTTGACACCCGTTAAATCCTTAAAAAAAAAGCAAGGGGCTATTTTGAACACATTTATGACAGCGATTCTGGCCTTCTTTATGTCAGATGGAAAGACAATAATACAGTTTCAATGGTCAAAAATTATGATACACTTGAACCCGTTGGACGAGTAAAACGCTGGTCAACAACTGCCAAAGCCAAGTTTGATGTTTATCAACCCAAAATGTATCAAAACTACAACAAATCTATGGGCGGCATTGACTTACACGATCAAGCTGTAAGTAACTATAGGATTTCTATCCGTGGAAAGAAATGGTAGTGGGTACTTTTCACCAACATGATAAATATGGGAGTAGTCAATGCCTGGAGGCTTTATCAGCAGGCAAATGATGAGCCTATGGCACTTTTGGACTTTCAGAGGAACATAGTACGTCACTATCTGGCTTGTCACGCAAAGGCAAAATTTTATATAAGACCATGCCAGCCTGCTCAGTTACCAGTAAGTGTAAAAAATCATGAAGTTGGTCACTTCCCTTTGAAACTGGAGAAACAACAAAGATGTGTTCAATGTCATCAAAGGGTCAGATGGAGCTGCACAAAATGTAAAGTTACCTTGTGTATGGAAAGAAATTGTTTTGTTAATTACCATTCCTAGTTTTAGTTACTTTTGTTTGCATTTCTATAAAAGTAAATAAAGTTGTGGTAAAAAAAAATAACTTTATATAGGAGCATATTATCCCACTGTACTCAAATGAGTACATAGGTATGTAGAGGGAACCCTTCATATTTGAATATAGGTTGTATTTAAGTTTTTACTTAAAATAATTCATATTTTAAGGAAAAATCTTTTTTTTTAATTTCCACAAAAATCGCCCGTGGGCGTTAATGGGTTAAGGACGAAAATATTATTATCCTGTAACTATTCTTTCGTGGTCTTGGCCGTAGGACATGACGCCTGCCCCATGAAAAATAAAGTTTGTATCAGGTGATAAAATAGGAATACTAGTAAATTGGTTTCATGCATATTTTGGTATCCACCATCTTTCAACGATACTGAACCACACCAGTCAACTATGACATAAACGTTAGCCACAATAATATAACTCGAGATCGGGAACGCCGGCGATGCAGTCAGGCGCGCATGAAGGTTGGAATCATTCCGATAGACAGCGAGTCACGTCTGCAAGTACTTCTCTAACTTTTAAGGGCAAATGTACGGTGAAATCTATGATGTAAGAAATGTGTACTATAGTGTGTCCCAGCCTATGGGGCCAAACAAATTTTTGTTCGATTTGAGATACGAATACCCTCTAATTCTTGTTTTCCATTTGACTTCAACAACTCAGAAAATAAATATTATTGCAATCGGGGGACGATAGACTGTAAATTCACTGCTTAATTTTTTTTAATTAAATTTTCATTACTGGTTGGCATCAGGTTGTAAACCGCAGCCACAGATTTTTCGCTGCTTCATTTGTATCTTATATCTCTTAGATACTTATTATTAAAAGCACATTATTTAGTAAATTTTCTTGATTTCAGTTCGAAGTAAATTGAGCCCAATTTTTAAGCAAAGAGGATTACAAAAAGATCTATTCACAATATTGTGCAGGGTGGGTCATAATGAAATTCACTTTTGAAAGCAATGTAAATTAACGCAGGCTATACCTATAAACGTTTGCTAATTTTTTTGATATTAAAGGACTTTGACAGTTTATGTTTTTAAAGTGATATCATCAAGATGGCCTCCAGATCTCCGAAAACACTCCTCCAAACCGGGGGCGTAGCTATCCTAGGGCAAACCGGGGCAGTGCCCCGGGGCCTCGGCTTATAGGGGGCCCCGGCCATGCGCCTCTAAAAAATTGTTTTTGAGTGCCGATCAGCAATAAATTCATTAAGTGCTAATATAACCTAGGTATACTAGAAAGAAAAATAAATAATAAATATAATGATAAATAATGTTTATTTTTTAAAACGCTGCTATTTGAGGAAATCGCTTGCGTTCCTAAATGTATGTAGCTATAATCCGTCGTACCGCGACGGGCTTGGCACCACCGCCTTAATATTACGTCTCGTCTTTGGGGATTCCCCGATCTATTGTTTTGATGATTTTATCAACCCAGCGTGCCCTATGTGATATTGATATGTGTCGTAGTCGTGCCGTGGTGCCCGGCGTGGTGTAAAATAACATTACTATATTTGTATTGTGACTATTGTGTCTCGTTATAATAAGGTACCTATTAGAAAAAAAGGTAAGTGTAAGTTATATTACTTAATGAATAAATGGCTCGATTTTGATTTGTGCGTAATTTTGTTTGTAAATGTACATTTGTCCATTACCTTGCTGAGTAAAGGCGCCCACAGAATTTCTGTAACGTAAGTTAGGTTTCATTTAAGACAGATTAAGACTTAACCGCAAGGAATTATACAGAATTCTAATCAGGTGATTTATAAAGTATGGTCAAGACTTAAGCCTTAAGGCATGAGAAATTACGTTACAGCTTAAGGTTTAAGTCTGGGCTTAAGTCTTATGTTACGGAAACTCTGCGGGCACCTTAAACCCGACACTAAATTCGTAAAAGCTTCTTAAAGACTAAAAATGATCTATTGACTGTTTCAAAAATATCGACTAATTTTTTTTCTCTTAAGTATATAGTATATCGAACAAATTGTTAGAAATGACGAAAAAAAATCCTGTAAAAGTTACAGCTCTTTAACATTTCTTCATTAACATGGGAAAAAAATTGTTTTCAACTTTTGAATTTTTTTCTCATTACTAAATTATCATACGGATAAGTTGATAGTTTACTATTGAAGGGAATTGAATGCTTTACAAAAAAGGTCTCTCACAATTTTCTGATAAACCTACTCGATCAAAAGTTTTTCGAGGGAAATTGAACTTTTCGATGCGGCACCACTTAATTTTAATATTAAGAGCTGTTACTTTTACAGGATTTGTTTTCGTCATTTCTAACAATATTTTCGACGTACTTGAGAGAAAAAAAATAGAAGATTTTTTTGAAACAGTCTAATTGATACACAACTATCGAACTATTTAATGCATTTAAAAATGGTTGTGTATTCTACTCTTTGCAGAATTAGCAGATTGCGGAACAAAACGTAAAAAAAAATGGAAGATAATCGGAAATATCAGTCTGGAGCACAGAAACGAAAATTAAAATTAGAAAAAGAGGAAAATTAAAAAAGCTGAAAAAGTAACTATGCAAAATATATATTCTTTTTTTGGTTTAAGTAATGATAGATGGGATCTTTTAGCTTCTTTTACCAGTGAATCCAGAACAACTTTAAAAACATTAAATCCAACTCGTTGGTCAGGAAGGATATTGTCTATTAGTGCTGTCAATTTTCGTTATCTTGATATTATTAAATCTTTAACAGAAATAGAGTTACAGTCTCATAAAAAAGAAGAAAGAGAAGAAGCTTCTTCCATTAAAAAACAAATGTGTTGCTTTGAATTTGTATTTATTTCAACAATGTTGTATAAAATCTTTACCCAGGTTAACTTCGCCTCAAAGGTCCTTCAAAAGAAAAATATTGATTTAAGTGAATCTGTGACTGTTTTAGAACAAGTAGAAAAGAAACTTACTGACTTAAGATCTTCTTAGGAAATTTTAATGATTGAAGCTACGGAACTGGCTAACAAATGGAATATTCAACAGGAATTCAGGCAAAAACGTCAACCTAAAGTTGAAAAACGCTTTGACGAACTCTTAAGTGATTACAGATTTAATAATACTCAAATTTTATTTAAAATAAATGTTTTTAATGTTGTTATGAACCGTGTTCTGACACAGATTTCTAATAGACTTAGAAGCATGAAAAAAATTAATAAATTGTTTGATTTACTTCTTCCAAAAATTATATTAAGTTGCGATGAAACATCCATTAAAAATAACTGTACAGCCATTTATAACAAATATCCTGAAATATTTGATTTAAATAATTTAATATTTCAGTATACCAATCTGTTAAATGTTTGTAAAAGAGACCTTAAGAATGATCTATCAATTAAGGAATATTTCAATATAATTTTAAGTAAGTATGGGGCACTTGAAAGCGACTTAAGTGAAGTTTACTTAATGTTCCTTTTATTTTTTACGTTGCCTGTAACTACTGCATTTGTTGAAAGATCATTTAACAAGCTAAAACTTGTAAAAAACTATCTTAGGTCTACTACAGGCCGGATTAGATTAAGCGATCTTGCTTTACTCTCTATAGAGAATGAAGAAGCCCAAAACCTTGATATAAATGATATTATCAACGAATTTGCAAATCGAAAAGCAAGAAAAAGGGATTTTTAATTTTATTATTGCTTAATTTTTGACTTTTGTTATTTCATTATTTTAATTTGTGCTACTTTTTATTTTTATGACAATAAACAATTTTTTTATAACATGATATTCTTTATTCGTAAACATACTCATGAGGGCGCCCAAAAAATGTTTGCCCCGGGGCCCCATGACTTCTTGCTACGCCACTTCTCCAAACGGAACCTCAAATTGTCGAACACTCCCCTGCAAGTTGTACTTGAAATTGCCGCCTTTTCGTGTCTAATGCTTTGCTTTAATTCGCTGAGGGTTTTTTGGATTAGCATTCTGGACTCGGCACCTGAGATATTCTCATAAAAAAAATCGGGTGGGTACAAGTCAGGGCTTCGTGGTGGCCAATCAATGTCACCTCCCCTCGATATCCTTTTCCAGGGAGCATTTCTCATACGACGCCCATGCTCACGTTGACAGCTGATGCCGTCCTGTTGAAATCACATCATGGAGTTGTATCCATAAAGACCTTGGTGCCTTAGGGCCAAAACAGTTACAGATTACAGAAACCGCTAACTGATATTGCTGTCCAAACTGTGACTTTTTGGGGCAACGAAATGGTTTTTGATCCTTCAGCGGCGGCTGCTCTGCACTCCAGTATCGACAGTTTTCTTGTTCACAAAACCGTTCAAACGAAAGTGAGCGTCGTCTTAAAAGAGGATTTTTTCCAAATCACAAAACCGCACAAGCAATAGCACTGAAAATTCTAATCTCTTTGTAAGGTCAGTGTCCTTTAATTCTTGGACGATTTGAATCTTATATGGATGAAGTTCCAAGCCACGCATCAACATTCGTTTCAAACTCGTACGAGCAACACTCATAGTCGCCATCTACTAGTTGAGACCTCTGGATCGAATCGAAATACGAGAGATTCATTTGCTTCCTCTATTCTTTGATCCGGGCGACCTTAACGTCTTGTTGACAGAGTCGAACGGGTTTCTTGGAACCTCCTCAAACATTGTTTCATTAAATTGGTGCCAGGGCACTGACGAATACGCCGCAATCCATATTTGACTCAAAATAAACGTCGCACAACAAAGAACGATTGCACCACGAATGCGCGCTGTTGCCTCATGAATTGACTCATGGCTACTGAAAATGCATGAATCTTTCCGCCCGTGGTTCCCTGTTTTACTTAAAAAACAAAAGTGAATTTTATTATGGCACTGCCTTTAGAACCAACAGTTACTGGAGAACTACAATAGATTGACTTGGGTCGCAGCGTCTTGAATCAATCTCATCTATTACTTGTAAGTGCCTATTAACAAAATTGCCACTGTACGTCAAGATAGATTTTACTGCACAGCCTTCCATTTCAAGTTGGTTGATCAATACGGTTCTATAGTTGTCGCATGTTTCTACTGAGACAAGCGACTTGTAAGGTAGGCATTTCCTAGTCGGCGACGGTATACGTTACATAACATTTCCCTGTGGATTTCACGGTTATACGCTGTAGACATTCTCTGAGCTTCTATAAATATTTAACACCGCACAGTCCTCCGACTAATCATACATAAGAAAATTTAATTAATATAGGGACAAATGGAGGAAGTCGGGTACCGGAGACGTCAGTATGCACAAGGATCCTATTAACTACATTAATTCAACATACAATGGACATTTTGCTGCGTATCAATATGTAACGTGTGCGAAATTCTGAAAGCCATACAACGTTGCTCACCAATTCAGCATGATTTTGAGGTAGTTGCGTTGCTGAGCCTGTTGCTACTAACAAGTTCGTCATGTGAAAAATTCTACTAGCTAGCTCTCATAAGTCAGCATCATGCAGCCAACCTCCGTTTCGTTGGTTACACCCTTAACATGCCCCATCATAGAACCACCCTATTTACTAAGAGTTTCTCTTTTGTTGCACCCAATCGCTATAATATGCTCCCTGTCAGCTTTAAAGTTTATCTGTTCCACTTTTTAGGTCAAAAGTAAAAAAATTTGTTTTGAAAATATGTCATAATACCTTATATTATTTAGTTTTTAACTTATGTAATGATGTAACTGTTAACTGTGACTATATGTGATTTTTTCTTTAAATTAAAAAAATGCCTATTCTTGGCATAATAGATTTTTCATTATTGTTACTCAACAATGTTTATGTCTCCCAGATTTTGTATTATAATTTTGTTTGGCCCTGGTTGGTATGAAAAACAGCTTTTAGCTGACACCCACCAGGTTACATAAAGGCTATTATTATTATTATTATTATTATTATTATTATTATTATTATTATTATTATTATTATAACAAGGGCGTTGGATATCTACAGAAAACATGTAGCCCTCTGAATATTTTTCAACAGGTCCCGGTCACGTTGCAGCGTTGGATACCAAACAGGTACAGCAAGTTCCATAATTGGCCTAGCATATGACGTGTACAGAAGCCTAGCCGTAGAACTGTTACAGCCCTTAAAGGATCTTTCAATAAGGTATAGACTCCTCTTGGCCTTAGTCGTTGAGCATTGGATATACTCGGACCATGGTGAACCATCCGATACTACTCCTCAATCTATGTGGCTGGAGACAGAGGAGATTTCCTAGTTTCCGATGATCTTAGGAGCCACCAGCCATCTTCTGCACACTTCGAAAGCATTGTCAAGGTCCCGTTGAAGGATGTTATCATAGGCACTGGGGGTATGATATATATCAGGTCACTGTAACATCGTGTTGTTATACTAAGTGACATATAAATCCGAACACCCAGTTTAAATGGTTTTATTTTAATAAAAGTTGGTGAATGTAATTATCTTACTGTAAATAACAAGTGAAAAAATTTTCAGCCTTATCAGTTGGACATTTCGGTTTTTATACTGCTTTTTTTTAATTCACTAACGCTCTAAAAATGAATATTTCAGCCGCAGTAAAGAATCAACGTTGGCGGATTTTGGTTCTTGACATCCTTTACGATCGGTTACGATGCCTAGAGTACGGAGACCTGTACGATTTCGTCAACTTAGTGAGTTTGATAGGGGCCGTATAGTGGGACTTCGGGAAGCTGGCTTTCTTTTCGGGCAATTGCAGTTGGAGTGCAAAGAAGTGTAGACACTGTGGTTAGGTGTTGTCAGGCATGGCTTCGAGAAGGCCGTACGCCAAGATCAAGGAGCACTGGACGCCGCCGTAGAACAACAGACCGTGAAGATCGCCACCTAAGATTATTGGCCGTAAGGGACCGTTTCTCCACTACCAGGTCTGTTGCAAATGAATGGTTTGCAGAACACGGAAGACCTATTGGCATGCGAAGTGTTTATCGACGAACGAGAAGTTTTCATACCGGCCACACTGGGTCCTCCCTTTAACTCGAGAACACCGACGTAATCGCCTTGAGTGGTGCAGACAACGGTCACTCTGGGATCAGGAATGGAACAGTATTGTCTTTAGTGACGAGTCTCGATTTTGTTTAGGCATGCACGATGGTCGTGCCAGGGTTAGAAGGCGACGTGGTGAAAGGAGGAATCGACAGTTTTTTGTTGAAAGACATGTTCATCACACTGTTAGAGTTATGGCTTGGGGTGCTATAGCTTATGGTTCCAGGTCAACTTTAATCTTCATCAGAGGTAACATGAACGCGCAGCGTTATATCCACGAAGTTCTAGAATCCCATCTTTTACCCTATCTTGACACCCTGGCAGATCCAACTTTCCAACAAGATAATGCCCGACCACATGTTGCAAGAGTCACAATAGACTTCTTTCAACATAATGATGTCACATTGTTACCATGGCCACCAAGATCTCCCGACTTATCCCCAATTGAGCACGTGTGGGATATGATGGGTAGGAGATTGCTCAATTTGCAACGTCCTCCTCAGACTCTATAAGCACTTCGAGAGGAGTTGGTGGTTGCCTGGAATGAGATACCACAGGAGGACATTGACCACCTGATCAGAAGCATGCCATCAGGGTGCATCCACACATTATTAAAGGTCAAAGGGCTTTAAAGCAGTGCAATCATTTTGAAATTTTTATCATTTACTTATTATGCTTCATTAAGTACTTATACAAAATTTTATTAAAATAAAACCATTTAAACTGGGTGTTCGGATTTATATGTCACTTAGTATATTTTGTCGTGTGAACCTATGGTCTGTAACCAATTTTTAAAGCCTCATAAACAAATTCTTGTTTTAGTGCAACCCAATCTATGCGCTGCCACATGTCTGTATCTTCTATTTTATCTGCATTCTTTTCTAGGAAGCATCTGTCGAAAGTTCAGGATTTACTAAAGAAAATAGCATAGTTCTGTCTATATTTTTCAGGTCTTGTTATCGAATACAATATAACCCGTGTATATTACGCAAGGCAACCTACAGGAAAATCTTATTATAGGATTATCGCCTTCAGCGCAACCTCTTTTACTAGATGCTTCCAATTTCGAACGTCTGGTTCTG